CCGAACAAAGTCCGGGGATATACCCACACCTACCAACTATTAGTTCTAAGATCAGACAAACAAAGCAATCTCGAATTATATCCAAGCTTAGAAGAGTATGAACTGAAAAACTTGAAAGTCATTGTGGAGTGTGACCTTTTACAGATAACAGAAACGTTAGAAATATATGTTGGAAGTCTTCAACAGCATCCCAGTTGCAAAGAGAAGGATAATTCTTTTCTGAAACCAGAAACTACTGACAACATCACAATCGTTTTGCAAAATTTTTTCGAAAATGAGAGTAGGACTACCATATACACGTATAACCCAGTGGAGAAGATAAAGCGAGTCGTTGTAAATCCTAACTACTACTGGCCGCCTGTGCTATTAATTGTAGTACTGGTAGTGATATTCTTTGGATTGTAAGTATTTTTAATTTCAAGTAAATAAGTTTGCTTCGCAAAGTTTGTAATATTTGAGTTCAAAAGTGATCCAAGCAAATCAATTTTTCTTAACTTTTGTATACTAGTGACAACAGCCTTCAGGTTCTGTATTTTTTTAGTAAATGGTACACAAAGAAGGATGTCGGATTTTCATGGAGAAATCGTACATCAGGTAAGAGAAAAATAAAACAAAAATTTACAACAAAAGTAACTTGACAAAACTAAATTATTGTTTCTAGATTTTTTCTTACAGTGCCTACAATTAGCCCCAGTTTGTTTTTCGTTTTTTATACTTACATTAATCTTCTATTTCTTTGTTCTTAGACAGTGAAGCAGATCGTCAAACAATCGAGTTACCTTTAGTGGACACAAAACAAAATAGACGAAAAAGCCAAAAATCTCAACCTGTAAGTTGTTTTAAATGACGATCAGATCTACCCACGATTAACACTTTCAGATAAAAGCTGTTAGTGAAAACCTAGACCATCTTTCAAAAATCATTGAACGTAAAAATTTCCAAAATTATACTAAAATGTCTCTCGACAATCAGGATTTGAAGCAACAACATGAGGTACATTTCGAAATTAATATAGCATAATCAAGAAATTATCCAAAGTTTTTCTTTAATCTGGCGTCAACCACTTTTATTGTAGGCAATTCTAGAATCCATTTGCACCTACGAGACTGTTCAAGTTACGACAGACTTCGTCGAATATGTCGACATGATTTATATTAGCGTAAAGATGATTTGTTTTCATTTTCAAAATCTACCAACATTTTTGTAGGGTCTTCAAATTAATAAAACTTACGCTGTCATCAAAATACCGAGTTCTAATGAGTACGACGAATTTTGGAAAACAATATGGACGGAGAATATTTGCTACATTGTATTGTTTGAAGACATCCACACAAAGGACAAAGTGAGATTTATAAAATAACATCACAAACACACTGAATTTAATAATTACAGTCCGACGTTAAACTATACTGGCCCACCGAAGGCAAAAACGTCTATGGTGATGTCACCGTACAGTGTACTACGTCGGAAGATCATGACTTGTTTAATCACAACAAATTTACCATACGATTTAAAAACAAATCTCGACAGGTTATTACCCGGAAATTCGATTATTTTCGTTCACTCATAATGTTCTAGATCGAGCAACTACATTTCCGCCTAGAGTCAGACGACGGACTTTATTTATTCTCCCTTAATTACGTAAACTTTTTCCAAAAAATGAGCAAAATACCACATTCTTGCGAATCACCGATTCTGGTCCACAGCAGGTTTGTTATAAAGTGTGCGAAGTGTTCTTTCAGAAAATTTTGGATTACAGTTCAGGAATGAGGGGGGTCGGTTTCGTTCTGCTTTGTGACATGTCCTTGAGGACAGCCACGAAAGACGGAGCAGTAGATGTGATGGCAAATCTCAAAAACCTCACACAGTACACGTCGGAGTTGATGGTGGATTTCGACCACTACGTAGCGGCTCACACCGTCATCGCCGATTGTCTTCGTTACATTGACACGACCATAAAGTGCAACGAGTTCGACGTTAACAAAGAAAAACTTTTCGACAAGGCTGAAATCCAGAAGCATCTTCATTATCTGCAGGATACTGAGTGGTTAGATCGAATAAAATACGATGGCGATGAGCGCTACAGTCAAGCGATCCGTCCAGGTACGTCGAGTGTAACATAATTGCAAATTTTAACTATTTCTTTTCAGAAAGTGCAGACGATTTGCTGCCCGCTCCTTGCACTTCTGGGAACGCTGATTCTTTGTTGAAACGCTTCAAGGTTGTCAAAATTTACGGTTTTAAAACTCAGAAAAATTTATAGTGTTGCATGAACCTAAAGCGAGATCCTTGTGCGACCTTTTCAATCTAGTACAAGATGAAAGTGTGGCAGCAGTTGTGACTCTTAACAAAGAGATTTTCTTGTGGCCTAACGAAAACCAGCCTGTGATAGAAATAAACGCAGACGTCAAATTAGAGCATCAAATGACAAGAAACTTGAAAAGTTACGATTGGATAACTGTGAAAATGACTACTGCAACTGTAAATATGAAGAAAGACACTAGTTTCAGGGTTAAGTGAATTTTTTCTGTTGTAGGCAACTCAAATTGTTGAAGTTATATCTTTGAAGAACTGGCTGACGCCGATCCCATCTTTGCCAAAGGCTCAGAATTTTATAAATTTTGTTCGCGAATCTAACGAGATTTTTAAAAAGGTCGAAATGGTGCTGATTGCAGACGGGTAAAAGAAAAGTGGTTTAGGGTTTACGTTTTAATGGTTTTCGTTTTAGGGGAAAGTTAACTACGTCTGGTTTATATATTGCTCTTACGTACGTCATTCAAAAAATTAAAACCAAGGGGATATGCGATATTTGTGGCAGTGTTAGAATGCTTCGACGTCACTTTGAGAATTTTTTTGTGAACAAAGTACGTATAAATTATTAGAATTATAAGAATTAAAAAAATTGTTAAAGGTTTTTGTATCCTTTAGTTTTAACTAAACAGCTAATATGTGTTTTTGTTGCAGAAGCATTACATGTTCCTAGTAGAAGCGGCCCACAACTACCTGAAAGAATTTAGTTTATATGAAATGAGATAATATAATTATTATATCTGTAAGAAAATTATAAATGTTTTTAAAAAATAAAACTAAGTAATTCTATACGATAAAAAGGAATAAATGTATTGCGGTTAAACATCACAGTAAATGTTGAAAATGTTCATCATTCTGTTCAAGACACATGTTGACTCTTTTTTAATTTCAAAAATATTCCGTAACATCCTTTCGTCGATACTTTGGACCCGTTGTTCAATTGTTCAATTCTGCTCAAGTCGTCTCAAGTTATTCCCCAGATATTTAAAATCATCCACGAGAGTTTTTTTTGTTGGCACTGCCAGTTCGAACAAATCTGTTGATTACAACTCTAATGTGAGCCTTTAACGATGTTTCTTGAATTATTATTAAATCACGATATTTGGCCAGATATTCTTGCTTACAAACGGTTACAGAATACACAGATTCTTCGTTTAAGAAGTGCCATTACGACAAGACATAACGATGAAAGTGTCTTGTTCAACAGAATAAACCATTTTCATAGTCTTCGCCTCGTAGCACAAACACAAAATTTTCGTACGCAACCACCAAGTGTTCTGAAAATGACTGTTTTGTTGTTTTGAGCTTCAATCAACCAGTAGTTTTGATGTTTTTTTTGCAATTTTTGCATATTTTTACATCAAATTAAATTACTTCTATTTGGAAAGTTTAGGCAAACTTTGGGGGTTGCCTGAAAACAACTTTTTTTTGTAATCTCAATGCAAAAATTATATAAAAAAAATCAACACCAAATCGTAAACCTCAGAAAGTTTCGTATATGAATGGTCAGTTTATGAATAAAGTTGGTAGAGAGTCGGGAAGAAAAATTTTTATTTTTGATTTTTGGTTCAAAGATTTTGAAGAAATTATTAAATAATAAAGGATATCTGCAGAAATGCTATTTACGCAAGTTTTTGTTCAACAGCATATTTGAGAAATGAAAAAAATTTTAGTTAGAAAAGCGAAATGTTAAGAAAATATTTTTACATTCTTTTTCGCTGCAAATGTTTTAACGCAACGCCTCTTGGAAAATTGTTTAAAGCAGCGTACTCGATACCAAGTTACAATTTAGTAGGGTTTGAATTTGAAAGATTAGTATAAGTAAAAAAATAGGTCGGACAAAAAATTTAATACATTATTTGCGCGTTAGGGCATTTTAAAGGGCTGGGTTTTATTAAAGCACTCCGCTTCAAAATTAAAACCTCGCTTGTAAAATTTCACCTACCGCGCTCATAATGTAAATAACTATTACATAAACCAAGATGTTAAGGTATATTTAAACGGAGAAATTTTTTTTCAAACTGATTAGATAAATTATAATCATTTACCAAAGCATAGAAAATTTACCTTTATGAATAAAATTGGTAAAGTCGGGAAAGAAATTTTGTTATTGAATGTATTTAAAAAAAGTTTACACAACTGTTTAAACATTTTGATGCCCTAAGACGTTAAGAATTAATCAAACTAAGTGATTTTTCTTCGAACTTATTAGATAAATTATAATCTTTTACCTAACCCTAGACCAAATACTGGGAAGATAAATAAGATTTCGTAACCTGGAGAAAATTGCGGATAATTTTTTTTTTTATTTTCAAATAAAATCGATTTCAGGAAGATGAACTCAGTCGTTTTAACTAGGCTAACCTGTTACCATCTCATCCTCGTATAATGAAATGACACTGAACTACCCTTGAGGGAAAGTTTTATTTTTCGACACCTCGTGTGTTATTTTTAAATTTTTTGCATTTCGTTCCACCTTAACAAAAAATTTGGTTGCTTGACCCACAAGAACAAATTTGAAAGCTCGGTGGGTTAAAAAAAGTCCTTTTAATATTAACGGGACTCGGTTTTATTAAAACACTCCGCTGCGCGTCGTGCTTCAAAATTAAAGCCTCGCCTGTAAAATGTTACCTACCGCACTCATAATGTAAATAACTGTTACGGTAACACGATAATCTGGGATAAGTGTTGTTATCAGTTCACCAGGATATCTCAAACGGGCAAATTAATATTAATTTTTTCAGTGGAATGTGCTAAACAGCGTGTGTGTGATTACTGGGTTTAAATATGTGGACAAAAAGGTTGGTCCTGTTGTAAGTTTTCATAAAAATTAATGAGAGCGTTGCACTGTTTTAGAGTTTTATATGGTTTAGTGGTTCTTTATATGACGATATCGATTTGTCAGAGCAGTTACTTTTTGGCGAGGAAAAGGTCGAAAAACCACAACAACTTCTTCGACTATTGCTTTTGTGTAACGAACAGTTCTTTTGCATTAAGTTGGATTCAAGAAGATATTACAGAGAAACTTGACTATGGTAGCTCAAAACAAAGAGATATGAGATATTATTTTTGGGGTTTCAAGAGAACATTTGTAGCTTAAAGAAATACTTGAGTATACGACAAAATATGCTAATATTGCTTAGACCAGACGTTACATTTAAAATACGCTATCAAAGTTTTATTTAATATTTTTTAAGTGACCACCCCTTTATATATATATATTGTTTATATGGTATATTAAACACGTTTTATTGTAGTTTCAAAATATATACCAGAACAAGCAGATGGCGAAAGGAATTATGACATCAAAGACGACGAAATTACCAGAAAATATTTCATGAAAGACCCTTGGCGGCTGCAGACTTCGATGCAGTCCAACTTTAACCACCCAATTTTAGACGAAAGATGGGAAGGTATTCCAAAATAATACATTCAAACAAAAAATATTTTATTATTTTTGCAAATGCAGCCATGAACGTGATAAAAACGGAATACGTGGAACGAAGTTTTGAAAAAGTAAAATACCAACACTTTCAAAACATAGTTCTAAAGAAAGAGAGCTTCGACATTCCCCTGTCCATCAGAATCGAAAAAGAGGGTCACATATTTCTTTGCGACGGTGAATATCCACCGATCTCCCGTTGCTACTGGTTTATGCTACAATCCTTTAGTGGAATGGGCAGTGCAATACGAAAATGCGAAAAAGGACACATCCCTTCAGAACCTGGAAAATTGCCTCAAACATCTTGCAACGATCAAGGAGTATACAAAATCGTATGTATTTCAAATTTTTTATTTTTCTTACACTTGCATCGTTTATGTTTAGCATACCATTGTCCCTACTTTTCTCTCTAACAAAATGTGGTCACATTTTGTTTTGTCTAAACACAGAAATGTACTGAAATTTAGTCAGTTTAGTGATCAAAAAGAAAAACTAATAATGGAATGGAAAGATTATGATATTCCCATAGATGTTACACATATTATAGTCCACAGCAAAGAAAACAGTGGTCTATGGAAGATTCATAACTGTAAGTTATGGAAAAATAAGTCAGTGCTTACATAGAAGACTAATACTTACATATTTTCAGTTGAGTTTCTTTATGCGGATGCTGCAAGTAGCGATGTTAATTTAGGGCCTCCTATATTTAGTACAGATACATTTGTATGCATTTCAATGTACGTCACGATGTGCCCTTCTTGTAAATTGGTACTATCTTTAGAGGATGGGCAACATGTTTTAAAAACGGAAGAATTCGAACTCAAAGTACGTATTTAGGACGTAAACAGATTAGAGTAACTTTTCCTTTATTCTTTTGTTTCGTGACTTTCCTTGCTTATAATAAAGTCTTCTTTTATACATATGCAGTATCGGACTTAACTTAAGCAAGTTTTTAAACTTTTATTACATTTTAAAACAAAATGATCAAAGTGAAAAATCAATGAGTGATTTGACAAAATGTAGCAGTAAGTAACTTTTCGAACTGTACTGCTTATTGTCAAATTTTAAGAAAAATATTTGAAAAACCAATATATATATATATATATATATATATATATATGTTAATGATAACTTTCGACCTCAAATTCTCTCACGTATATATACTTTTGGGCTCAAATTGGAAGTTTCGGCCTCGCCGTAGCTTTTGAGGCCGAAGTGACTCACACATTCAACGTAACATTTGGACTCACGCACATCCAGTGACATCTTTTAACAGTAATTTTAACAATTTTGGTTTGAGAAAAGATTGTTAAGTATAAAAGTTGGTTGCATAGATGATTTACTTAACAAAGCTAATATTATGACTAGGTTTTATATAAATACGAGAAGTTGTTTGAAGGTAGTAATTTCCAGAAGAATGTTGGAAATTTATCTAAAATTAAAGAAAATATAAAGCAACTGAAAACAATTGGACAGTAGAAGAGCCAAAAATTCAGAAAGAAGTTAGAGAGTACAGAATGTAAGAAGCGGAAAGTTGAGGACATGGAATGAAGACAGGGAAATTTGGATGAAAAATTTTACAAAGAGAGTTGGAATTAACTGAGCAAGGAAGCATAAAGAGAAGGGGTGGTAATTATAAAAAAAAATAGAGAGGGAATGGAAAAGAAAAGCGGGGAGGACAAATGGGGTTTAAAATTGCTTGTTTGAAATATTGCATTATTAAGAAAAATAAACAGAATTTATTTAATGAGTACATAAAATTTTGATTTTGTGTGATTAACAGAAACATGGATACTAAAGAGTAAGGGGAATAAATTGAACAAGGAAAAAGGAAAAGTTGAGGGTGAAGCAAGTGGGGGATCCATAACAGGGGTGACAAAAGATATAAAACAAATCGAAGAGCGGGTAAGAGAAGTGGAACGCATAGTGGAAAGAAAGATAAAAGAAAAAAAGAATTTGCATATTGTATTGCATTGGAATTAAAAAAAATTTGAAGAAAAAAATTTAAGAAAAAATTGATGAGTCTAACGAAGAATTTCTTCTGATAGGAGATGGTTTTAACGCCAAAATAGGCAACAAAAGCAGGGAATATAGCGGAGAACGCACAGAAAAATCTAAAGATAAAATTTTAAATAAAGACAGAAAATTTCTATGGAAATTAATTGAAGAAAGAGTTTGGTAGTCTTGAATGGGGTGAAGGAGGGGGATGAAGATAAAGAATTTACCTGTATATGTAACCCAGTAGCTGATGAAGAAGCCGAAACATTTAAATTAGGAGAAAGAATTGATTCCGACCACATGCTATAAGAAGTAAAATTGAGGGATAGAAGTAGAAAAGTCGGAGTCACAAATAAGGAAGTAGATAAAAAGGAGAAGGGAACTGAGCATTATAAAAGATGTTGGAAATTGAATTCAAAAGAAGTAAGCTAAAATAAAATAGAAGAATTAAAAACAACAACTGAAAAAGCAGCAATAAGAAAAGGATTTATAACGAAGAAAGCAGAAAAGAGAAACAAATGGCGGGTTAATAGATGCAGAGATTTAAAAACATAAGAAAAAAAATGTTTACGAAGGTGTAAAAAGGGAAAGATAAAAAAGAAGAGTACTGTCCAGCAAGAAATAATAACAGGTCGGTGTGAAGAAAAAAAAGAAGAGATTCCGAAAGAAGAAATAAAATAAAAGCCATAAAATCAGAGCAAGAACCAAAATAAGGAAAAACAAAAACATGATCAGTGAAGAAATGCTAATAATACAATGGAAGTACCATTTCATGAAACTAATGAGTGGAAATGAGAGTATTGTAGCGCAAAAGAGTTAAACCGAGAATGCTGAGAGAGAAAGAATGGCCGAACATTACAGTGGAAAAAATATGGAAACAAGTTGGAGGGTCGAAAAGAGGGAAAAGACCAGGGAGGAATGGATTGGTAAATGATGTATGGACGTTTAGAACGGATGATTTGATTGAAAGACTGTGTGAAATAATGAATGAGATGTGGAAAAGTAAAGGTCTCCTTGAAAGTGGCGACAAGGACAAATACGTCCAATGGCGAGTATAAAGGAACCTAGGTACAATGGGGGTTATACTCGTCTAAAGATAATATCAGAAACAACGCCAAGGTACCTAGAGAGAGAAAGAACGAAGGAGAAAAAGTAATTGCTAGACAGAGGGGTGGACATGAAGAAAGAAACAATAACTTTTGCTTAAGCGAAAGCAGAAGAATATATAGGATGTGTGGAGAAGTGCAAGAGACTTTAGAATACATGCTACAAGACTAGGGCGAAATTAAAGAAAAAAGGAAAGTATAACAGAAATATTGAATGAAGATGGAAGAGAAGCTGGGTGGATGAAAGGAGTGGAAAAGAGCGGAGTAAGGCTGGGGCAAAGGGGATGCGATAAAGGAAGTAAATTGTAAAATCCTTGATTGTTGACCATTATTATTGCTATACCACACCAAAATAGTATAAACAAAAATAAATAATTGGCAGAGTGGTGAACTATCTAGCCTAAAATTATTTTCATCTTTTGTACAATTCGGCCTCACAGAATCGTAGAAAACAACTTTCAAACTTACAACCCAAGCTAAAATTAACTTAATAGCAGTTATTTTAATAACAAATAAGAGAAATAAACCTACAAGAAAAAGTCATAATTGTGTTATTAATTATGAAGTAACTATTAAAAAAATCTAAAGATTGTGATGCCAAAAGTTACTTTAAATCAAATAATGTCTTTCATCCATAGAAACTTTTGGCCTCATAATTACATGACGAATAACTTTCGGACTCATGTGCTAACATACATTAAAGTACAAGGTACATGAATAAATCTAAAATCGGAAACCCAAAATTTGGTCAAATCGAGGCAATAAAATTCATGTGAACCAATATTCGGTGCTATATATTCAGGCACACCCCCAAGTGTAAAGATTCAGATTTTTTCCATAAAACGGAACATTTTCTATAAGGTTAAGACAAAATTACGACTGTGAATGGTAGAAGTATCTGTAGACGCATTCATAAAAATATTTTTTATTCAAAGTTAAAGTGATAATTTCAATTTTTTAAATACTTGCTACTTAGCCAAATATAAAGGAAGATAGGTCCAAAGTTGCTATAAATGAGCTAATTATTTTAATATGTTTGTTTCCATATTAGCGTGGGTATAAATTTGGGTTAGGTAGTTCTGCAATCAACCAATTATTTATTTTTATTTATACTATTTTGGTGATACCAGTTTCAGGGTTCATCCCCTTTCTCAGCCACCTCGTCAGTAAACCTATGACACTTTAAAAAAGTCAATATTTGGTTAGATTTTTAGACTTATTAGTGTTAATATTATCTGGAAATTGATGTGCCGTTTTTTGATCCTAAAATACTTGATTTTTGACCATTATTCTTGCTATACCACACGAAAATAGTATAAATAAAAATAAATAATTGGCTGAATGTTGAACTATCTAACCTAAAATTATTTTCATCTTTTGTAGACTTTGGCCTCACAGAATCGTAGAGAACAACTTTCAAACTTACAACCCAAGCTAAAATTAACTTAATAGCAGTTATTTTAATAACAAATAAGAGAAATAAACCTACAAGAAAAAGTCATAATTGTGTTATTAATTATGAAGTAACTATTAAAAAACTCTAAAGATTGTGATGCCAAAAGTTACTTTAAATCAAATAATGGCTTTCATCCATAGAAACTTTTGGCCTCATAATTACATGACGAATAACTTTCGGACTCATGTGCTAACATACATTAAAGTACAAGGTACATGAATAAATCTAAAATCGGAAAACCAAAATTTGGTCAAATCGAGGCAGTAAAATTCATGTGAATCAATATTCGGTGCTATATATTCAGGCACACCCCCAAGTGTAAATATTCAGATTTTTTCCATAATACGAAACATTTTGTATGAAGTTAAGACAAAATTAGACTGTGAATGGTAGAAGAATCTGTAGACGCATTCATAAAAATATTTTTTTATTCAAAGTTAAAGTGATAATTTAAATTTTTTAAGTACTTGCTACTTAGACAAATATAAAATACGAGAGTTCGAAAGTTGCTATAAATGAGCTAATTAATTTGATATGTGTGTTTCCATATTAGCGCGGGTATAAAGTTGGGTTAGGTAGTTCTGCAATCAACCAATTATTTATTTTTATTTATACTATTTTGGTGATACCAGTTTCAGGGTTCATCCCCTTTCTCAGCCACCTCGTCAGTAAACTTATAACACTTTAAAAAAGTCAATATTTGGTTAGATTTTTAGACTTATTAGTGTTAATATTATCTGGAAATTGATGTGCCGTTTTTTGATCCTAAAATACTTGATTTTTGACCATTATTCTTGCTATACCACACGAAAATAGTATAAATAAAAATAAATAATTGGCTGAATGTTGAACTATCTAACCTAAAATTATTTTCATCTTTTGTAGACTTTGGCCTCACAGAATCGTAGAGAACAACTTTGAAACTTACAACCCAAGCAAAAATTAACTTAATAGCAGTTATTTTAATAACAAATAAGAGAAATAAACCTACAAGAAAAAGTCATAATTGTGTTATTAATTATGAAGTAACTATTAAAAAAATCTAAAGATTGTGATGCCAAAAGTTACTTTAAATCAAATAATGGCTTTCATCCATAGAAACTTTTGGCCTCATAATTACATGACCAATGACTTTCGGACTCATGTGCTAACATACATTAAAGTATAAGGTACATGAATAAATCTAAAATCGGAAACCCAAAATTTGGTCAAATCGAGGCAGTAAAATTCATGTGAATCAATATTCGGTGCTATATATTCAGGCA